TTTTTTTTCTTTTTTTTAGTTTCTTCTGTTTGCTCTCTGGGAAATGAATTACATGTTACATTCACTTACACGGCCTTTTTGTGAATGGCCAGCCCTTCTTCTATAGCGGTTCATGACAGTCTGCCTTCAGCAGTGGCATTCTGCTGACTGTTTGAGTTTCTACACAGGCACTCAAGCAAACTCTTTGTGCTTTAGTTGATAAAAGAAGCTGAGATTATGGGGTAGTTTACTTTACCATAGGACAAAGTTCTCATAAGACAAGGAAGGCTATTGTTCTGGCACCACAGGTAGTCTTAAAGGTTAGGATAGGATTAAAATGGTCAATATAATGTTATATTGCTGAAGCTTTGAGGGGTGTTGTGGGGGGAAGGGGGAATGGTGGAAACTGTTGGAAGAGGATCTAGAAAAATGTGCTGAAGAATAGGAGGAAGAGTTGGAATGAAATAAATCTCATCTCTCAGATACCCAGCAACATGTGAGATAAGAAATTTTACTAGCGAGAAATAGTAAAACATTTTGCCCACATTTGTGTGGGCAAGACGAAAAGCAGATGTCCAAACATGCTTGTATAGGTGGATCACATACCAAAAAAAAAAAAAAGGAAAATAATTTGCATTAATTGTTTTAAGCATCTAGTCAGTTTCATTTGATCCTATTGCCAAGAAACCAGGAAGTCTTCTATCTACACTTCAACAGTTAGTAACTGGCTTTCAATCAATTTTTCCTCTTTCACTAGTCATGACAAAAATGTGGCTCTCATGTTAGCCACATCCTGGCACCCACAGGAGTACTTAACCTTGAGTATAGTACAGTTAAGTTGAATTCAGTCCCAGGTGCAACTCCATGTATGTCTACAACTGACAGAAATTGCCAGCTAGTAACTTGTTTTTTTCTCCATTCTATTTAGTATTCAGAGCATTTAGAAATAAAGAGGGGTACACATACTGAGTGAATCTTAGCTTAAACATATTTACAGAAAGTTAGGTTACACTACTCAGTAAATGAGTGGGAAAGAGAATCACATTTACCATAAAAATGGACAGAAAAAGGCAGGAGAGCCCATGTGTGTGTGTTCAAGTCAGTCTTCTGGTAATTGCCTACTACCCACAGTTCACTTGGCAGCATTTTCAGACGTGATTTGCCATTGCTTTTTTCTAGGGCTGATGGTCAATGCTTCTTTATGGATAGAATATGTCCCGATAGACCTAAAGGATGGAGATATAAGACCTTAACTGAAAAGGCCTTTCTTTATCTAGAAGATTTTTCTAATTACTGTTCAATCTCAACTATTTCATTGCTGGTATTTCAGGTATTTTTTGTTTTTTTTAAAGTCTCAAAACTTCAGATGCATTTGGAAGAAACTCATAATCTGAACCCATAATCAGAGTTTCATCCAGAATAGCCACTGAGGCTGCTTGGATTACTTTGGTGGAGCCTATGTAAAAAAATTATATGCAGGAGTGCCACCCTGCTAATTCTCCCGGACTCTTTACATCTTTCAGAACCATTAATCATGGTATCTGTCATCTGGTACTGTTTGCACACTTGCACAGTGATAACTACCGGTAATTGGTACAGCTAAGGCATGTGTGACCCTTCCCAAACTGGTCAGACTTGAAAACAGTTATCCATGTCTTGTCCAATTCATCTTAATTATTGTAGTGCACTCTACACAGTGGAACTGTCCCAAAATTGCAATTCAAGCAAACACGTTGTGCCTGGTATAAACTATAGAGATCATTTGATGCCTGAACTGAAATATCTGCAATTCCTGCAGACACAATGAAAATATACAACTTTTTGTTGTTGTTAGTTGCGAAGTCATGTCTGACCCATTGCGACCCCATGGACAATATTCCTCCAGGCCTTCCTGTCCTCTACCATCCTCTGGAGTCCATTTAAGCTCATACCTACTACTTCAATAACTCCATCCAGACACCTCGTTCTCCTAAATCTTTAAAGTCATAAGCAACTTGTCTATGTGACAGAAAGGCTTTCAAACTTCACTGAGAAAGAGACCCAAAAGTATAGTGACTAATTTTATTTCAATCCTTTGAATTGTGCTCCAGGCAGATAGCAAAAGATTCCTGTATTACAAGATACTGGTAGAGAAGATCCTGTGGCATTCCTAATGCTCTCTGAGCTTGGTTATTGCTTGCAGATATCTCATTACCTAATTAGATAACATCTCAGTGCTGTTGAGTGTTGGGTTTGCTCCCTGTTTACATACAGTGGCTTGCCCTGTCGGTATTGATGGGGATGTGGGTTTTTCCTTGGTAGTTTCTTGATTATTGTTGTCTGCATGACTGTTTGTCTGTTGTTAATCCCTGCTTATGTGGGTGTTGATTGCTGTAAAGGATGTGCTTGGGTGTTTTTGTTTCCTTAACTTTTTATTGTCTCTTTTGAATGATATGTAAATATGGTTTTTCTCTATGTCTCTATGCATAATTGATTTGTCTGAATCTCTACTTTCCAGGAATTCCCTTTGGTTAAGTGTGGTGAAATTAACTTCTGGCTGCTACTTGGTGTTCATGGATGCACTCTGCTACTCTTCTGCCCATCTGTCCTACTCAGTGACTGTTACAGTCATTACAGTATATTATTGATGACATTCATTTTTCTCGGCCTACTTGGTCTTTTGGTTTATTTAAGATATTTTGGAGACCTTTAGTTAGTTTGTGTGCTACAGTGATGTGGTTATAATATCTGTTGATTGTTTCTGAGATGTTTAGGATGTTTGGTAGCATTATCTGCTGGTTGTGCTGTAGGATTGAGTGATCAGGTATTTTTTGATAAAGTTGTGTCCATTTTGTTGGAAGATATTGTATAGGCAATCTTTTTCCTTTTTCTAGTGTTGCAGTATATTTGTGCTCATTTGAATAATATTCTCTTGTGGGAAGTTTAGCTGTTAATTTGGCTAACAGAAGAAACTAGAAGATATAGATGATAACTATGTGAGCTTGAGAACTGAAGCTCTGGGATCAGTTGTTTTACTGGCTTCTTATTGCAAATGTTTTGAAGATGTGCTCTTACAGCCTTTACAAAATATAATGAATTCTGTTTTACAGAGAGAGGGGGTGAAAGATGTTGGACTGCTGGAAAGAGGCTAATGTTGCATTAATACTAAAGAAATATAGAATTTGACTTTAGCCAGAAAATAGCAACCAATATCATTACTGAATAATTACTATAAATTGTTAAAAGAGGTTAAAAATAATTTTGCAGGAATTTATTCATAAAGGTCGATTTGAATTTTATCTAAAAGATAGTTAAGGGATAGTATTAGAAATACATTGGACATTTTGAAATATTTGGAGCAATATAATGAAAAACAAGCTGCACTCATTTTCTTACATGCAGCCAAACTCTTTGATGATTTGAACTGAACTATTTTTAAAAAAAGTTTTGGAAGTTGTGAAATTTGGAGATAATTTTTATTAAGTGGGTGAGATCAATTATACCTCATAGAAAGCAAAAGTAATTGTTAATGGAGAACTAACAGAACTTTGTGAGATACTGAAAGGAACACAAGGATGTTTACTATTTCCTTACCTGTTTATTTTAGTTCTTGAAATATTGAATAAAAAAGCAGGATAAGAGAATTGCAGGAGTAGAGATCAAAAGGGAAATTTAAAATTTGGGGTTTTTGCTGATGATGTGTGTTAGTTTTGAAAGATTTATTAAAGGGAATAGAAATATTAATAGGAGAATTAAAAGAATTTGGTATGCCAAGTTTCAAGATTAATAATATAATATATGTAATAATATTATATATACATAAAAAAAGAGAACTGAAGCTCTGAAAATTAAGACCTAGCAAACTCACACAGAACTTCATGAAATCTCATGCATTTGTGGCATTGATGCAGGGAGATATGTTTGAGATCTAAGAATTCTTGCTAAAAGGAACTTTCTCAACTGCAGCTTATATTTAGAATAACAATAAAAGCTCAATTTGTATTCATGATACTTTTCACCCTGGCATGAATTTAAATCCGGACTTTAAACAAAGAAGGAGTGAGGAACACATTTGGTGCTTTCAGCATATAAGATGGGTGAGTTCCTGAAAAGAATTAAGAATCTCTATTCCTGCTGACATTTGATTTCTTTTTAGCAGCAGGACCGACAAAACAATCAATACCTTTCAAGCTAAGAAGGACTGTATCAATATTAACCTCCATGGCATCCTTTACTGGGGCTTTTGACATTTGTTCTAAGTACACTGAAATGAACTTTTCTGACAAGTACCCAACAAATATTGTCCCATGTCACAATTAAACATTAGCTAGGTTCCTTTTGTGTCCTTTTAAAGGGAAGTAGATATAATTGAGATGTACTATGTGTGGATGTAATAATTCCTCTGCTAGTGTTACTATGCTGATAGCATTGGGTCTGGTTAGCATTGGGTCATTTGATTCAAGTTGAAGGGGAATGCCATACTTAAGCCAACAATAACAAAGAATTGCAGTTGTCACAATTTTATCCAATTTATCACTTAAAATAAATTCCCTTGTTAAACTGTGATTTGTTAAACAAGTTCCAATTAGCTGAATTCTTATATTAGACCATAACTACAACCCCCCCCTCTATTTGTATATTGCATTGAGTTTAGGTACTGGAGATTACCAGATAGGAAAGTGTTTTTCTGGCTAACAGATCAGATTTCTACAAGTACATTTCTAGGTCAAGATGATACAACCAGAAGAAGCTGTGAAGCATTCTGGCTTTTGATATTCCTTCATAAGTAAATTGAGGAAAGGAACAAAGTAAAGAAGCAAACAAATAAAGCAAAGATAGTAAAGTAAATCCCTCATTTTCAGTGGAACATATTTGTTGCCCCAAAGATTACATTTTTTGATGGGGACTAAAAAATCTGGGAGCAGGGGAAGTGGAGTGGAATATCTGAATGAAGGCATAGCTAGAAGGTGAAGAGGTGTATTCACACAGTTGCATGGGTTTGCATAATTCACTTGTCAGAATAACATAACACAGAAAAAACCTTAATTTGATAGAGTTGTTTTATTTGGAACACACAAAAAACAATTCTAAGTATTGCCCATGGTCATTTCTATACAAATTAATGTTAAATTCTGCAACAGTATTCTTGATAGAAGTAACAGTGGTTGTTAGTTAATTTGTCAGTTATAAATATTTTAATTTGAACATTACTTTTTAATCTGGAAAAATAGGATACTCAATAAGGAATGTTTTCACACACACTACAATACAATACCAAATAAATGATTTATGACCAGATTTCAGCCATTGGCCTTAACCCAATGAAAATTATTTGGTAATTTCCACTAAAACTAATAGGAAATTTATTAATGAGTAAACCCCTATTGAATTCAGTGGAACATAATAACAATTAGAATTAGATGGTTAAAGCTGAGATTTAGTGAAATGCTACACTAAATCATTTTTCTAACTCTACCCCTCAGAGCAAGATCTTCCAAACTATTTTTTGCAAACCAAAATGAATTTGGTTTGCAAACTTCCAAACGAATTGTACACCCAATCCTAAACAGTTTGGAATTTCCATTCAACCATTATAATTTAGAATATTAAAATGTATTTAAGAAAATGCAATAGAATAATATAGTAGTATATTTAAAATTTCAGTTGATATTTCACCTGTTTTAGAAGGGTGCAATACAGTTTGGATTTCCACCCTAATTAGGTCTAATTCTGATGTATATCCTCTTGTCATGCTTTGTTTGGAACATTATTTTGTAATTTTCTTCTGACCAAGAATTTAAAAAACATGGCTTCCATAGCTACATAAAGATGTCAATAATATAATATCAAATGAGAGGGTGGAACAAATTTTTCAGCACATTCCTGAGAGGCTACAAATGGAATGGGTATCTTAAGTCTTGTAAGGCACAATTTTTCCCTTTAAAATATCAAAACCAAAGTACAACCATTTTGAAACTATAGTGTTGTAAAAGGGATGCTGGGGCAAAGATTCTTTCAAGTGATTAAATCAAATCATAATGTAGTGCAACACAAATCTATCTGGGAAGTCAATGGTTACAAGGTCCACTGACATGAATATACAGTTACATTAGGAGTAAACCTTGAATATATTTCACAGTACTTAATTTAAAATAAATATGTATAGGATTGGGCTAGGTTTTTGTTTATCTTAATGGGCTCTGGTTATAACCGAAGCCACTTCATGTAGAAGTAAGGGAAGAAACTTGAATCACACATTTCCTACACAATATCTTCTTCAACTTTTATATCTGTTAGATACATTGAATCTTATGCTTCTCCCACTCCCACTTTGGAAAAATCCTAGATGCAAACAGGAAAATTTCAAAGCAAATGTAATGGTTACTGATTTTTAAATAAGTACTGTAAGATAGGTACTGTCTTGGTCTTCTATAAATTCTATGGATTACTTTTCACCCAACATTTATAACTTAATATAAAAAGAACATATGGATATCCATGTGGGCTATAGAATGTAATGCAACTACTTATTTTGTAAAAAACTTCATAAGAAAAGGAAATTTGATAAATATTGCACATTAGATTTAACTCAGCTATGGGACTATCCAAGAAAAATAAATTAATACACGAATAGGAGGTACACCTCAGTCAATCCTACAGCTTTAGAAGGGGTGTGTACTGGAAGAAGTCCTAACTGCTTGCATCCCATAAATTAGTAAACCTTGAATATACAATAAACAGACACTTTTTATCCACAGACACTTGAATATGCACACTGAAGTGATGAATGGAAGGCAAAAGGTAGAATTGAATTGAGTCTGAAGTGAACACTGAAGCCCATTCAACATAAATTTAATTCTGATTCACAACATAATGGCATTTCATAGAATCAAGCAAAATGTTTTGTAACATTGCCAAAGATATGAATAATTATTTTTTTATATCACATGAACTGCAGAAATTTTTCAAATAATATAGGTTAGTATATTTTCAACAACAGAGATTTGAAAATTACAGTGTTTGTGCGTATGTATACATATGTATATCTATAGGTATCCTCGACTTATGATCACAATTGGGACCAGAATTTTTGTTGCTAAGCAAGGCAGTTTTTAAGTGAATCCAATTTTACTATTTTTCTGCAATGATTTTCTGCAAATCACTGCAATTTTTAACTGAATCATACAGTCATTAAGTGAATCTGGTTTCCCCTATTGACTTTCTTGTTAGAAGCCAGCTGGGAAGGTCACAAATAGTGATCACATGGTCCCAGATTGCCAAAGTTGACCACGTGACTATGGGGATGCTGCAGGGTTCATAAGTGCGAGGACCAGTCATAAGTCACTTTTTTCTGTGCCATTTTAACTTTCATCACTAAATGAATGGCTGTAAGTCAAGAATTATCTGTCTATATTTATCATATTAATAAATTATTATAAAACTATGATAACACAACTGCTAATCGTGTTATATTTCCAGTAGGAACAAGATAGATAACAGAACTCAAAAATATTCCCATTAAGGCATTCAGCATAACACCAAATGATTCAGCCACATTTTTTAAAAAAATAATAACAAAAAAAAATATTTAGGGAAAATCTCTTCATAATGTCCAGAGGTTAATGGGGGGGGGGGAATCCAAAGAAGAGAATTTTCCCAGTCATTAAAAATAACAATAGAGTAGATGATGTTTGTAAAAAGTGAAACATCAAGTTGGAATATAAAAGAAAAAAAAATAAACATAGAAATAATGCTGTATCACTACATTAGTCCAAGGTAAATAGCATTCATATGCTATAATCTGGGATTACTAGTTTCGTAGGCCTCATCTTACTACACCAAGTACTGTTCTCACTTGTTCTTGCTTAACTAGCATATGCTGGTTAAAGAGTTATCAGATTCTTCTTTATATTATGGCACTGTAAAATTTATTTACTTCATTCTCTTACAATTATATTTAGGAAAAGAACTGATCTTTATAATCTGTACCTTATTTAGAGATACGCAACAGTAGTAAATGAGCTATTGAAAATTTGATAAAACATTGCTTATATGCAACTCTGGAATTTTGACAGGATTAGCAACTTTGTTTTATGATTTAATAAAAGGCAGCACAAGAAATCTGCTGTACTGCTAGCTCTAACGCCATACATTTTCCACAAATATCACAGACATTCGAAGATTAGACTTTGCATTGCAAAATATCCACATTGTTATCGCATTGAATTGGCAGTGAATCAGTATATAAAAACAAAAAACAATATTCCCCATAGAATTCTATGGACTGATAATGCATACAAAGGAGAATTTGTATTGGTATACGAACTTATACTTCTGTCCATCTCTCCCAAATCTGATTAATTAGTCTGTATCTACATGTTTGATTAATAGTTGAATTTGCTATATTTTTTTAAAAAAGGGGAATATAATTTTATTGTATATTCCTTTCTGTTTATAAGATTTGGCTTATGACTTGCTTGATTTATTTCTATAAAAAAAAATCAGGAAAACTTATCCCATTAGAATTAGATTCAATTTTAAAAAGTGCCATATTTCCCATGTGATTTTTAAAGGGTGCAAATATTACATTTGCCTCAGTTAAAATAATTGTTTTCAACTATGTGGACAAAGCAATGTGTCTCCTATAGCTGTCTCTGAGTCTTGGCTGTGAGTAGAACTGATCCCAGTGTCGGAGTCTGTATCATTTAGGTCTAAATTTGTCATTTTTTGAAGAAGGTCTGTTCCTGGAAAGTTTTTTGTACAGGTTCCAGTTTCATTGTCCTTCATTTCCTCTTCACTGATTGGATACCTGAATATATTTTTATCTTTAGCATGCAAACCACTAAGCTCTTCTACAAGTAGTTCATATTCTTTTTCCTTCCTTTGAAGCATCAAGTCCCGATATTTTAGTTCCTGCTCTATGCAATTCAACTGAGAATGAATCCTTAGAGCATCTTTCATACTTCTCTCTAGCTCATTCTTAACACTTTCTAGATTAGTGTTTTCCACTTCACCTTTAGATGCGTCTTCTGTCCGTATGTCTCCATTTTTTTCACTTTCCTTAACCTCTTGTTCAATTTCAGCAGAGAGCTTTTCAATCATTAACTTGTGGTGCCTTAGTCCTTCTTCCACTTGTAAAATCCCATCATATTTGTTTGAACTTTCCTGCTGATGGTTGTGAGGCATTTCCATTAGCTGTTCAGAACTGCTACAAGATGACATTAAATAAGACTCTTGGACATAATTTTCCCCATCACTTTCAAGCTGGAATTTGGCTTCACACTCTTCAATTTCCATATCTAGTTCCTTCATTCTATTAATCTGTTGGTGAATAGTATGGTCTTGAGAAAGGATGAGATGGATTAGTGTCTCTATATTGTCCCTCTCCTGCAGAACTCCTTCCTGTTTAAGTTTGGCCAGTTTCTTAAAGGTTTTTCTAAGAATTCTCTTTTGTTTGTCCACTGTCAACATCTTCATATAATTTGCTGGACTCAGATCCAAGTGCATTTCTAGGTTTGGAACTATCTTGGCTTCAGATGTCCTCCACAAAGGCAAGGGAAGGAAAGCATCTGCCTTGACCAAGACAAAGTGCAAATTAGGTTGCTCTTCCCCCCAGGCTTTCCAGAGTCGGAGCATTTTTGTGAGAGGTGGAAGAACCCGCTCAGAACCTCTCCATTTTTCTATAATGCAGTAATCTTTACATTCCCCAAAGAGAAATCTCTTCTCTGCCAATGTTGTCTGATGTTCTTCCAGCAAAGCTTCAATTACTTCCAGGCAAGTTGTGTGTTTAGTCAGTCCACTGACAATCTTCTCTTCCTGGCAAACCCAGACTATGATTTCTTGTTCACTGGAGCCCATTTCTTTCACAGACGACCTGAAGTTAAAGAAACAAAAATATTTTATAAGCCAAATTGTAGCTTTGGGTAAACTCTAGATTATAATAAAATATGGTCATTGTGCACTGAAACTATCATGTAAATATTTATATACACATGCACACGTTTGAAAAGTGTTTCAGAAATTCAAGAAGTGTTTGTGTGTTTGCTCCTTTGCCTTTGTTCTTCCTTAAAAAAATTTTTTTTTGTTCTGTTCTGTTCAATTATATAATATGCCCCCTGCAAACCCCCAAAACCATGGATAGGCTTTAGAATCTTAAGATAACTTGGAAGATTATGTAGAAAAGGAGGTCAAGAATCTCAGGAGGAAATAATTTATCCTACATTTTTAATATATATATATATAACCTGTGAAAAAAGCTATGCATGCTCAATCTTTAATCATATGCCTTATATGCATTACAGTAATTCTCATGGAACTTAGTGGAATATGTTTTTGCATACTGTATACTTGTACAGGACTGTATTGCAAGTTTAATTTAGTTTCACTAAAGCTTACAAAGACTAGATGGTACCCTGTATCAATTACACAGAATATAACACAGAGGCAGCTTAAGGAATTGATTATAATTATTGGAGTTGGCCTGAATAAGCCCAGGTTCAAGTCTCTACAGAATTCACTGGATGACTTTCCCCTCCCTCCTCCTCAACCCACCTCACAGTATTTTGTGGAAGAAAATGGGATGCTGGAAGAGCATCAACATGTAAACTGCCTTGAGCTGATTGAAAAAATACAAGATATAAATGAAATGAAATCAATCAATCAATCAACGAATGAATTGGTGAATCAGTAAATCAATGAAGCAAGCAAACAAACAATTCTGTGCAGTTTCCCATTGGGTGAAGTGTAAATACTTTACATCAGTTAATCAGAAAGAGAAAATGTAATGAATCTATAATTTTGAGTTGCATTTCATTTGTTATGTTTTGCACGTTAAATTGCACATTTTCATCTTTTTGTTTGCTTGCTTTGAAATAGGCTTCTTTTTTTTCTATTTACATACTATGTAGACTCCTTCATAGAAACTCTGAACTATTTAGAAAATATGTTTGCTGAAATGTACAGAAAATGAAGGGCATTCATAAGACATGAATATATAGACAGAAGTTAGACATGGTTGTTTGACAGATGTCTACTTAAGAGATGAAAAGCAAAACAGGGAAGTCAAGAAAAGCAAGGAAACACATTTGTAGGAAATGAGTAATCATGTAGTAAAAAGCAAACTCATTAAGGTAACATTGCATAGAAACCACCTAAGATCATTAGGAAGGCTTATTTCAGCTACCTACTTCCCCTTCTGCATGATATATTAATTAAACGAGAATATGGGATCAAGCAGTCTGCTTGAATTAGTTGCAGTATTTGCAGCCATATGTCATGTTAAAATTGGCTCTTGCACAGGCACTTCTTTCCAGTAACTGCATTTGGCAAAGATACTGTGCCATCACAACAATTTTTTAGTGAATAAATAAAGTATATGTGAGAGGTGAGCACTTAATAGATTTATAAAAAGGCATCTCAGTGAGAACTGAACATGTTCAGTGTATATACTGGCATGCTGACTGAGTGGGGTTGGAATGGAATACAGTTTCTTGAAAAATAGCATGATCAAACACATCTAATGTTCAACAGGAATGTTCCAGACTGCAAATTTGGTCAGAGACTTCCCAGCCTACAATGAATGTTTGAATCTTAATCAAAATCACTCTTTTCAGTCAAAGCATGTGTGAAAGGAAGATTGTGTAAAGCTTGTGATGCAGAGTATGGTTTTGCTTTCTTTTTGGCCTTTCTCCACCAGCATGGAAAGCAACATTTAAAGATTATAATATAAGTCATCTTGAGGGACTGCCTTCTCCCATTGCATTTGCCTGGACAAATCAATCTTACAAAATTGGCATGTTCCAGGTTCTTTGATTAAGCAATGTCATCTATGAGACTTTGGAAGTGTGCTTCCTCTGTAGCAGTGCCTGCCCTCTGGAATGAGGATCTCTCAGTGATCCAGATGTCCCTCACTCTGTTGGTATTCAGAAGAGCTATGAAGAGCCTGATTTTCATTGATGTGGGAAGTGAGACTCCTCACTTCATTCCATTTGATCTGCTGCACTTGCCATCTTTTATCAACTTTATTGCAGTATTTTGTTTGATTATTGTAAGCCACCCAGAGGTCGTTAGAAGGCAGGGGACAGACAAATTAGTATTATTATTCTCTGTTCACAACAATGTGAAATTACAGCTGTCAGTTCTGTAGCTGGTGTTGCTTTCATGCACATCATGTGCATTAAAATATAAATTATACAAATTTAAGCTCTTTGTGCCACTTTGCAGGTTTTCTGGCTAGTTCTAAACTTCTCACTATCTCTGTCTGAAATAATAGTGAGGCAATATTAAAATGATTGTGGTTTTCAGTTACAAATTGAATTATGCAGTCTAGAGGAAACTAGGGATAAAGATATTTAGTTAATAAAGTCTGACATTCTAAGAAGGAGATTGGTTGTTTTAATCTCTGAGCTTGTCAGAGTAAAAAATTACACCAGCATGATGAAAGAAATAGTTAACTATCCGGAGAAGAGAAAGCAACCTTATGGATATTTCAGATTTGGTCTTTAAGAATTCTAATGTGGAATAATTAGATCTTCACCTTAATGACTACCTAGGCAGGATTTTTTTTCTTTTTGGAAAAATAAACCCTAATTAATCCATAATGGGTTGAGAGATGAAGACTGGGGAAATGATATGGACCAGAAATAATGTTTCATATACAGCCTGTGTATATTTGTATTATCTCTCACCTAAGAAGATAGAATTGGCTAATTTGAATAGAAGCCTAATGGGCAAAAGCAATATCCATTAACAGGTTCTGAGGAGATAGAAGGAAGAGAATTAGAGGTAAACTTGGCCTTTATCATTACTTGATAGTTATACATGTCTTGAGCTGCTTTACAGCATTGATAATACATGTACCAATGTTTTAAGATTCATAACAATAATTACTAATCAATTTAGGAGAAATTATCTGACAGTTAGAACAATTATTCAGCAGAACAACTTGCTTCCAGAAGCTATAAGTGTTCCAACACAGGAGGTTTTTGTGAAGAGATTGGACAGCTACTTGTCTGAAGTGGTTGGACTACTGTAGAAGACCTGCAAGGTCCCTTCCACTTCTGTTATTCTGTTTATTAATTTCAAATTTTAATTGGTAGAGAATATGGGGATTTATCAATTTGGCTTTAATTCAAACATTAATTCTAAATGGCTAATCATGATAATTGCCCTCATTTTATCTTGTAAACTTTGTAGCACAATCTCTCTGCTCTAGTTTAATGGGTGAGCAGGACATTAATGCAGTGGAATTGCTATGCTTAACCAGCAATAGTCAATAGCATAGCTATTTGGCATGAAGGTGATATAACTGCAGATTCATAACTATTGAAAACGCCGTTGTCTTTGTAGCTGAGTGAGAAACTCTATGATCCTGAATAACATGCAGCTTAGAAGAAATCCATCTGTTCTGTCCACTAGACTGTTCATACTGGGAACAGCAGCAGAAACAGGTGAGACGTGCTGAAAAGCAGGACAACACTGAACTCATGGTTGACAAAATGTAGGTGCCTCCATTGAATAACTAACCTGCCTTAGAAGAAAACATATAAAAACTTCATGATGGGAGTCTGTACTATATTGAAATGATGTCCCAGTGCCTGGAGGCTGTGCGGATCTGGATGGGGAGGAACAGGCTCAAACTCAACCCTTCCAAGACTGAGTGGCTGTGGCTCCCGGCATCCCAATATAGTCAGTTGACTCCATCGCTGACTATTGGGGGCGAGTCTTTGGCCCCCACAGAAAGGGCTCGCAATCTGGGAGTCCTCCTGGATATTCAGCTGTCCTTGGAGGAACATCTGACGGCTGTAACCAGGGGGACCTTTTGTCAGGTTCGCCTGATTTGCCAGTTGCAGCCCTTTCTTGATTGGGATGCACAGTCACTCACGCCCTCCTCACCTCTCGCCTTGACTACTGCAACGCTCTCTACATGGGGCTCCCCTTGAAGAGCACCCGGAGGCTCCAAGTGGTTCAGAACGCAGCAGCGCGGGTAGTGATGGGATCAGCATGGCGCTCCCATGTAACACCGCTCCTGCACGAGCTGCACTGGCTCCAGGTGGTCTTCCGGGTGCGCTTCAAGGTGTTGGTCATCACCTTTAAAGCGCTCCATGGCATAGGGCCTAGCTATCTTCGAGACCGCCTGCTGCTACTGACGACTTCCCATTGACCCGTGCGCTCCCACAGAGAGGGCCTCCTCAGGGTGCCATCAGCCAAACAAAATAGGCTGGTGACCCCCAGGGGGAGGGCCTTCTCTGTGGGGGCACCTACCCTCTGGAATCAGTTGCCCCCACAGATAAGGAGAATCCAAGACCTCAGTGCCTTCCGCCGTGCCCTTAAAACCCACTTTTTCCAGCAAGCCGGGCTGGCTTAAGAAGAAATTTTTAAAAATTTTAAATTGGTTTGTGATTTTTAATTTTTGGGCCAAATTTATTTATATATATTTTAATTGTTTTTTAATATTTGTATTTCATGTTCTTAATTCTGGCTGTACATCGCCCTGAGTCCTCAGGGAGAAGGGCGGTATATAAATTGGAAATAAAATAAATAAAAATAAAATAAAATATAGATTACCAAGTGATCTCCCCTGCCTATCCTAATATGACCCAAATATGTATTAAAACTGAGAGTCCTGCACTGAGTCATAATTCAGAGAAAATAAAAGGGGATTTAGAAATTATTTTATTCAACCACTGAGTTATAGATTATGGTACTAATCAGTAACTACTTTAAACCTTTTAGCTAAATTTACTATTTCCTTCATCTCTAGACAGTTAATACCAAATGTATCAAACCGCATCATAAAACTGCAAAATCTAAGCATCTGTTCTTTGTCAACTCATATTTCATAAGGTTAAATCAATATGATCTACTATCATATGG